TCAGTCTCATCACATGATCTATGCCTTTTGAGCAAAGGCAACAATTTGAACATTTCAACATGCATTTAAGTTGTTTAACAACCTCCCTAATATTTGTACATGTCAATGTGTCTCCTTAGAACATTACAAGACAAAGTAAAGTACTACTTAGGTGATCAAACACATCAAGACAAAGTAAAGTATTACTTAGGTGATCAAACTTACATCAAGTTCAAATGAACCCTTCTATGTAAGTTTCACATAACTGCTTAGTCTGTTGAGAACTTTAATGATGTCAGTGTCTCCTCATTTAACTGTTTTATCTAATTGCAATCATTTACCACAAAGGGAAACAAAAATTACAGTCATTCTGATAAGGTGCTACAATTTTTCAACGAATTTCAGGACGACAAATATCCCACGGACAATTTGGATGACATGCACACAGATAATCATGACAATCTCATATCTCATCTTTGCATATGCTGTAAAAGGAACTCTTTTCATTGCAGTTGCATTCCTCGGCATCTGCTATGGCGTGCAATTTTCTACTATGATCCCTACGGTGTCCGAGCTTTTTGGGTTAAAACACTTTGGTGTGCTATACAACTTCATGTCATTGGGAAACCCTCTTGGTGCATTCCTTTTCTCAGCTCTGATAGCAGGACAAGTATATGACAAGGAGGCTGCAAAACAGCAACATGGTCAAGGAAGCTTGCTTGCTTCTGCTTCTGCTTCAGCTTCAGCTTCAGGAGTCTCTTGCTTGGGACCAAATTGCTTCAGACTAACCTTCTTTGTTTTGGCTTCTGTTTCTGCATTTGGATCCATCTTGAGCATCATCCTGAGTTTCAGGATCAAACCAGTTTACCAAATGCTTTATTCTGGTGGTTCTTTCAGGCTGCCTCAAACCTCATCTCAGTAAACTATATTTATACACAGAAGGTTCATCAATCTATATATAGTTGTTTTGTGAATCTGAGTTTGAGTCTTGGTTTGGGAAAATGGTTGGTTTAGTATGCTTGTTATGGTAAAGGATGGTACCGAGAGGAAAATGGATGTGATCTGTATAATTTAGGATTGTTGACTATAATTTACTTGGGATATTCAAGATATTTAATATTTAAGCCAATGACACTATGATACAATCACTGAGGTTTGTACACTTTTTTTTTGTTTTATTGATCCGGTTTTGGGATTATATATAGATTGCTTGTGGTGGTCAAAATTCTTTAGTTATTGTGTTTCAGAACTTGAATAGGGGGCGAAGTGGTGGATTAACAAAAAGGAACTTGAAAGGGAAAAGGCAGAATAGAGAAGACAAAACAAGGCATGTGTCCCTGTTCTGCTCTTTCGGTGCTGGTGGTTATTATTATTACTTGAAAGAAAACTTGTCAGCTTTTGTCTCTCGTCAAGGGCACACAAAGTAGTATCAGACTTTTAGATGCTGCGATTTGGAAGTCAGAACTTAAAACAAAAAACAAAAAAGGGGGAAAATTTTCTCGCAATGCCACACACAAGAAATGTAAGAGCGCGTTTGATTGGTAAAAAAAAAAAAAAAATGGTCGTCAATAAAATAGTATGGAGTGTAGCATAGCGAAATAAAATAAATTTTTTATTATTTTAAAATTTTATGATGAAAAAAAGGTCTTACAAGATTCTTGTTTTAGGGTGTGTTTGGATTTGCATTGGGAAAAAATTGATTATTAAAACATGATAATATATAGATAAATTTTTAAAATTTGATTTTGATAAATTGAATATGTTTAAATGATTTTTAAAAAATAAATTTTGAATGTGTAAATAAATGATATAAAGAAAAGAAGCCAAATAAAGTTTTATAAATGGAGAAATTTTAGCTTCTTTAAAATAGAGTTTTTCAAGCCCAATGAAATTTTGTAAAATGAGGGTGTTTGGATAAATGTTAACAAAATCATGATTTTGTTTCCAAAATTAATTCCTAACGAGTATCCAAACAAGCCCTTAAAGTTACTATAAAATTGGGTTAACACTTTTTTCTTTTTAATATTATCCATATAATTAAATTTTTTAAAAAAATAATACCTATTAAATAATTATAATATTTGTCAAGCATATAATAATAATAATAATAATATAATAATAATAATAATAATAATAATAAAACTTAACTGTCAAACAAGGTATCTAAGAATTAAGAATAAAAAAAAATTAAGTGATAGAACTACTCAAGTAAATATACCTTTTGCACAAGAAGAAAACATATCAACATCCTAGTGTTGAGAGGGGGAGAGATGGCAAGAGGGAGAGAAATATGGCATGAGTTGAGAGGTATAATTGGAGAATGAAAATAATAAATAGGATTTTTTTTAATTAGGGCATGAGGCTGAGAGTAATTTTATAAATGAAATAATTATATTATATTATTCTATCATTAACTCTCTAATTTTAGAGGACAACAAAAATTAAATTGTAGATGGCAAAAGAGGGCTTTAGAAGCTTTTCTTTACCATTTCATCTTTCTTTTTCAAAAATAAAATTCACAAACAATTACCTTTACCTTTTAGTCATTTCACCCATTCCATTCCCTCCTAAAGAAAATAAAAAATCTTCCAAATATAGTGCAAATATAAAAAATATTATAAAATCATAAAATTGCTTTGAAATATGATATTCTATAAGTTGTCCATTAGAACTTGATAGTTATTAATTATTGTTGGTTAATTATTAACAACTCCACTGATATTTTTATAGCAATTAATAATTTTAATATAATAAATTAATAACTTAAATCAAGATCATGGAACTTCAAAATAATTTAATGATTCTATAAAATTTTTTTATTTAATTTTTTGTGAGGGACTTAAGAGTTTTTTTTTTTAGAAAAGATGGAGAAAAAATAATTATTAATCCTTATAACTTCTTCATGTTTTATGATTGGTCTTCATTTTTTTAATGTTCTAAATATTTAATATGAATTTCCTTATTTTAAATAGGCCCAAAGATATGATGATGTAGTATAAATAATATTAAATTAAAGCATTTGATGTATGAGATAAAAGGCTTGACCCACTGTGAATCACTTTTCAAAACTGACAAGTGTTGTCACCCAAGCATCTTTGTCATAAAACAATCATCCCCTTTTTTTTTAACCTACTGCTAATTCAAATTGTTTTAAATATGTTAATATTTTCATTAACGTTGTTAGTTGCATATAAGATAATTTAACACTATTATTAGTATCATATCATCATTCTTTTAGGTATATTTAAAAGTAAAGAGACTTATAGTATAAACAGAAAAGGCTAAAAAGACATGAAACATCAGTAAACAAAAAAAAGACTAATTACAAAATGAAATTAGAGGGACTAACATTATAGATAAGAAAATCTGAAGAGATAATAACAAAATGTGATAAAAATATAAAATTTAATAGTAATGTTTTTATCAGTGATTAAAAAATCAGATCGAATTGGACGATCGAATAGGTTAGACTGTCGACCGGTGAGACAAATGGTTCGGTCAAGCCAAAAAAATCGTTTGGGAAGTTGGGTGATTAGGCTGCTTTGAACTGACGATTGAATTAGGAACCAGAATTAAGTTGAGAATCGAATCTAGTTTTCAAATACTAGAGTGTTCAAAAAATTCTTTTTTATTTTTTGTCAAATTTTTTTAAAAAATGACTAATTTTTTTAATCATTTAATGTTATAATATATCATATGACTTATTAAGTTATTATAAAATTAAAATATTTGATTTTATTTTTAAGTTAAGTAACTTATATTTAAATTATTATATACACAAATTCCTTCCATTAAAAAATGTAAGACATTTTTAACCGAATCTCACCCTTATAGTTACTTACTTCCAAACTAATCCAATCTTTTCATATTTATCTCTATTAAATATTCTATATTAAATATAAAGTCATTGTTAATAGGGTCACTTTTGAAGAAAAAAGGCGATAATTATATTTAAAAAGGCCAAAATTCCTTACATTTTCAAACATTTAACTTCTCAAAAAATGTCTTATATTTTTTAATAGAGGGAGTATAATTTTTTAATTTAATTATTATATTACTAATTTAACTATTGATCCAATTTAATTGAATTATATAAATTATGAATTGTTAATCTTTTTGATTTAATATTTAGTTTGATTTTGAAAATATTAGTTTTCATAAAAAAAATAAATAAATTATGACTCAAGTAAAATCCTTCTCTCTTTCTGGAGAAAATACTAGGGGTGAGCATCAATCGGTTCGGTTCGATTAGGTCCCAAAATATGCAAAACCGATCGATTGAATAACATTAAAAATGAAAACCGAATTGAACTGAACAAGGATTGAACTGAAATTTGATAATTCAGTTCGGTGGTTAATTCAGTTTTTCGGTTTCATATTGGGCTATTAAAATTGAGCTCATTTTTTAAATATTAAACAAACAACACTACAAAATTGGGCTTTTTTTCTATTCGTTTTTTTTAATATGAGCCAATTCTAATTACACCTATATGACATAATGTACAAATATTATAAAAGCATGGATAATCAAATAAACAACCACAAATAAACACCGATGATCAAATAATGGCTCCACAATCCAGTCACAACACCTACCGATGAGAGTGACTGACTGAAATAGAGTTTCAAGTGATATTATTATTTTTTATTTTTTATTAAAATAAAAAATAAAATAAAATAAAATAATTTATAAATTACATATAATTTATAAATTAATAAATTATATGTAATTCGGTCGGTTTGGTCTATTTGATTTTAAATTTTACTAATCAATCGAACCGATCAACCAAAATATTTAAAATAAAAAAATCAAATCAAATTAAAAAATCAAATAAACCAAATCAAATTGATAAAATTTAATTCAATTCAATTCAGTTTTCAATTTCGCTTCGGTTTTGCTCAGCTCTAAAAAATACCAACGAAACAGGTAGATTGCTACAATTAATGAATACCGAACCTAAGTCCTAACATGCCGACAAAAAGTGACTAACAAAGGGAAGAGAGAGAGAGAGAAAAAAAAAGAAAAGAAAAAAAAAACCTAGAAACATTTTAACTGATACAATTGACTTTTTCGAATTGATCCAACCATTGTCGCTTGTCAGCCTGGCCTGCCTCAACTGAAAATATTTTGTATGTACAAGTGAAAGAGAAGAAGCAAGAGAGAGACTTGAAACCAATAAAATACAAAATAAACACACTGTATTTAGTTTACTTTACTACAAGTAATTAATCATCACTGCAACTTACTCCTGCTACTTCTCTGTTGCTCTGATCCTGTAGACTCATCTTCAAAAGAGAAAATATCTTTCCTTTTTTTTTTTTTTTCTTTCCTTGGGTAAATGTAAAGATCTGACTTTTTCTCTCAGAAAGTGGGAAACAACAATCAAGTTGGTTTCAGATCCTGGAACAAGGTAGGCCACAGAGTGTGATCATCCTCATCAAAATCGAAATCCCCTTTTGTCTTGTTGAGGCAGGGACTGAAACTCATTGGGCTTTGAGGTCTGGCATCTGAAGGCCTGCTAAACCTTGGGCTCTTGCATTCCGTCATCACCAACCTCGGGTCCAAAGGCCCAGACGATCTTGGGCTTTTCATTGAGCCCATCATCGGCCTTCCACTTGCTACCGGACTCCGATTCGTGTAAAGCCATCTCTCTTGCTTCTTCCCATCAAGAGGCCCAGAAAGCCTCAAGACCTTATTGCTATTCACCATCTTCTCGTTCATCGTCCTTCCGTCTAAAGGCCCAGACAAGGCTATGCGTCTGGTTCTATTCATCGCCGTCACCGGCTTCTGAAACTCCTCACCGGCGGGCTTCCTCTCGACAGCGCCACGCCATTTCTCGTGGTAGTACCAATCGGGTTCTCTGCCGCCGCCGGGGAATTCCTTCTGGTCTGAAGAAGAACGATCTTCTTCTCGAAAAACAACGAGCTTTCTGACGCATTTCCTGATGTAGTTCTTGATTACGCCAGAGAGCTTTCTGGGACGATGATGGTGGAGATGGGCACCATAGTCGTTGTGGGCGAGCTTGAGGATCTCGAGGCGGTGCTTGGCAATGGAGACGCCCATGCTCTGGAGAAACTCGTGGTTGAAGAAGGCGGCGTCCTGGAGTTCAAGCTGGTTGCGAGCGAACGTAACGCCATAGTCGTAGATGAGGGAAGATTCGAGGTTGGTTCTGGAGAGCCAGGATAACCAGTCCATGAGAGGAGGAGGAGGACGAGGGGTAGCGTTGAGAGGGTGGATGAGGGAGAGAGATAATGGGGAAGATGGAGATGAGGAAGAAGGCATAGTGATTGGGGGTTATATATAAGGATGAGGATAAGGAGATAGAGAGATGAAGGGACGGGGAATTACTCAGAGAGAAAGAGAGTGAAGGGAAGGGAAGGGAAGAGTGATTTTGGTGGAATGAAGCAACGAAATGCTGATGGTGCGTTTTGGGTTTTAATGGAGGTTTGGACGGTAGTTGAGGATTGACAGTGACCTGCACGAGACGATAGCGTGATATTGTGTGCCAATATTTCTGACATTTTTGGCTTCACCCCACATTTGTTTGCTTTCTATTCCACTCTTCACAAAAGTGACTTGTTTACATGTAAATGTTAAATCCTATCATATCATTCTTCCTCCACGTTTTTCTATGAACACCAGGGCTGGCTTGCAGTTATTCCTTTTGAAAAAATAAAAAATAAAAATTGGTGTCATCGCCGATGAACTTGTGAACTACTTTCTTCTATAAATAAAGTCACAGGCTCAGTATCACTTATAACTTCAGGCCGTTATGTCATATTTTGTGAGTGTATTTTGTGAGTGGGATGTAAATTTTACAATTTTGTACCATTTACTTTTAACATTTTGCACCTAATTAAATAAAAAATATTTGAATTCAAATTTATTAGATATATAATATTTTAAAGATCGAGATAAAGTATATAATGTATCTTTACCTAAAAAATCATATCAATTTATTTAATATAATGCCACAAAAGGAAGAAAGATGATTAAGAGAATTATGTTATTAAATTTTTAGTTACAGTGTAATTATTATTTTTAATTATTAAATTATTATGTAAAAAAAATATTAATTTTAAATTAAATTATCTTGCATCTGTTAACTCAGAGCTAGATATAAGTGAAAGGAGTAAGTAGATATTGAAAATTAAAAAAGAAATAAATAAAAATCTAATGGTTGACTTGGTGCAAGCACTGAAAGATTAAATAATGGAGAGATAAGTGAATGCAAGATTAGTGTGGAACAAGGGGCCTCATTCTGTGATCACGGGTCTGGCTTCTTCCACTCATTAAATCATAAAATACAATAACAACGCTGTGTTTGGTTCAGCAAAGGAGAGGGGAGAATCCGTTATTTGAGAGAGATTTTAAGGACAAATTAGGAATTTGAGATTATAGTAAGAATAATATATTTAACTATTCTTAAAATGTCATTTACAACCTGTTTTGGAGCCAAACGAGGGGCATGAGTTTAATTAAATTAGATCATATCTTTATCCATCTATGTTTTTTTAAATCTTTTTATATAGTCCAATACTACTAGATTGTATTTAAATATTGTAAGGCTTAATGTATTATTCTTTGGGGTATCCTTAATTATAAGTTGGGATGGAAGTAGACCACATAATCTTTCAGGGGCCTACAACTAGGATTACTTCAAGCCAAGTTTAGATCTTTGATTGGATCTATTTTTACAAACCACCTATGAGCCAGCTTATTTATTCACACACTACATGTATATAATATTATATTTAATTTAGGAATTAAGAAATAATCTACTTCACCCTGTTTCTTCAGCCCTTTTCCTCTCTTTCTTTCTTCAAATTGAGATTCAAATGTATTAGACAGGTTCTTTCTTACTCAAATTACTTTTTATTAGCTTTTGTATGATGAATTGACAATGTATTCGTTTCATCATTTTATTTTAATAATCTATTCTTTTTTGTTTATAGTTTTTTGGTTATATTTTTAATCATATTAAATTTATGTATTGATTTTAATGTTATTACCCTAATGATATATTGTATTGCGGTTGGTAAATTAAGTTGTGCATCTATTTAAAATCTTTAAGACTTATTATATAAGCCTATTTAAGATATCTACTTAACAAAGTAGGAGGATTTTAGATACGCTTTTAAGTTATGTTTTGCAGTACACTTGCAGGCACAGTAAAATTGCATTGGTACTAAAAAATGGTATGGTGAAATCTAACGGTTGACCTGGTGAGAACAATGAATAATTAAATAATCCAGTGATAAGTGAATCTTATAAAGATATTTTAGAAGAGATATAGCATGGAGAAGAAGATCCAAACGATATGAATGATAATGACAGAAATCAATACTAAAGGGTTAATGATAGTTTGAGATCAAATAAAAAGAATAATTATATTCATTCTTCCAACAATTTCAAGTTGTACATTCGCTCTATTCTCAATTAGAAAACAAAATCACCTAATTCTCAAATAATACCAAGTTAACTAATTCACGTCTTCAGCATGTTTCTACTTTTCAGCGATAACTTTACTTAATGCTTAGTATTTTGTTATTATTAAATGCTTTTCATACATTTTTTTGATGCAATATACTTTCATACATTTATAAGTAACATATATAGAAAAAAAAAAAAAATTTTAGAATAATTTTTACTCCTTAAATTTTAGAATAAATTTATCTTATAAATGAAAACAACCACCCCTCCAAAATTTTTTCATAATTAGAAACCGAGGGAGCATAAATTATTTTTCTAACTTACAGTATTTTTAGACTTAAAAAATAAATATGAAAAAATTGCTGAATAAAAACTAGGGTTAAATAGCAAATTGACCCATAAACTATAGGTCTAGGAGCGTTTGGTGTAACACCCCAATTTTTTACATCTTGACTTAAGTATTGATTAAGAGTTTAAGTTACCCTTTTTTTTTGGGTAAAATCAGGGTGTTTTTGGAAAGAATAGGTGTTAGTAACACTCCAATTGTTTAGAATGAGATTAATTGATGAGATAAGGGTTATCTCTCATATTCCTAATGGTTATAGGGTAATTTTGGTGGAAATTGAAGCCTCTATCCACGTTTGGTTGCAGATGAAATTTGTTCAAGGGTTTACCACACGCAAATGCTAGCCTCACATTGACTAGTCAAAATGCAGAGTTCAACCACAAGTGAGTGAAATTCTAAAAGGTTTGATCATGGGTGGACGAAAGGTGAATTAGCATTTTATAACCTGAAGATCATATCAAAAATGAGGGTTTTGATTTTGGAAAATGGAGAGAAACTTATGGGGCAAGATTTTTGGCCGAAAATCCAAGAGGTTTGAACTTTCAAATGTTTATTTGAGATATATAGCTTGGGTTCCTCCTCCTCCTCCTCTATTTAGCTAGTAGAAACTTAAGGTTTATTGGGATTTTGATTGTTGGCAACCAAGGTTCCAAATCTTGTGATGATTAAGGAAGTTTTCCATTCGCAAGAGGTAAGTTTAAGCTTTTTCTAACCTTGCTTAGGTTTATAGATGGTGGATTCTAAATATTACGGTTGTTTGGAGAAAACCTAGGTTGTTATAAGATGAAATTTAAATTTATGCTGAATTGATGGTTAAAGAATTTGATTTTTGGATTAAGATAACTTAGTTATAGTTGTTGGAATGTGAAATTGTAATTGGATTGGAGGTTATGTTGAATTTTGGATTTTTGGTGTATTATTCTGAATTTTTTTAGGATTTTTGGCTTGACTAATTGGATGATGTATGGTTGGTCAAAGAATTTATTCGATTAGAAACTTTGAATAATAAGAATTTAATATTTAAAATATTATTGAGTTTGAAGTTGATTTGATTTATCATTTTAAACTTGAGATTTCTATTCTAAAAGGGCTTATTTGGAGATAGATAATGAAATTGTTTTTTTAATTACAAGGCCACGGTAAAACTGTGTAAAGAGACTAAAATCTACTCATATTTAAAACCATGAGATTTCTACAATCGTGCGGTGGTACCTCAAAAATCATAATATTAAAGGTATCATGCGAAGGTCTGTGAGTTAAAAGATCAGCAGATCTGTTTGCTTCTCTATAAACATGATCAAAAGTGACCATCTAATCTCTCATAACAAGATCTCTAATCTTTTTGATAGTGTTAGAATAAGGATGACTCTCAGAGTAGGTGCGATTAATGAGTGACAATACCTCTATTGAATCAGAGTGGATATTGACTCTTGATGATTTTGCATTCCAGTAAAGATTTAGTCCCTTAAGAATTCTCATAAGTTATGCTATCATGCTAGGTTGATATCCAAGGTACTTGGAAAATTCTTTAATCCAATTTTCCTTATCATCTCTGATAATGCCTCTACATGCTGTGGCGCCATTAGTGTTAATAGAATCATTGGTGTCAAGTCTAACCCATCCAAGTTTAGGTGAACTCAATTTTTCGTCATCTGTAGAGTTGCAATTGCCCAAACGGGTGACTTTAGATAGAAGCTTCAAATCATTATTAATCTGTTGAGTGTTGGATAAGGCAATATTGTTGTTTGGGATGTTATCTGTTGAGTATAATTTGCTGCATCTAGCTTTTCAAATATTCTAGCAGGCTTGCGTAAAGAGTTTTTGCCATGGCATTCTTCTTGTTCTTAAACTGCTTGCTATATTCTTTGCATTCCAAACTATTTAATCCTGCACATTAAAGGAGAAGTAGGTGTTAAGCCTCGTAGGTTTCACTAAATTTTTCTAGACTTCTTTAGCTTCTTTACAATTACATAAAATAGGAATTGAAGAATTAGGAGAGTTACAACCAAATGGGCATAGACGTTGATAGGGAGCATCCTGAGATGCTTGCATGTAATTGATCTAAAGACAGTTTGAGGTAGCTTTCCATAAAAAATATTTTATTTTTTCATATGTAGGCCACTTCTAAATTTTTGTCCATATATCAGAGTGGTGTTGATCCTTATGAAATTTCATAGCTCTGTAAGCAAATTTTATGAAGACGTTTCCATCAGAGGAGGGTCTCCAAATGAGAACATCATCTATACGTTGATGGCTAGGAGGTTGCACAAGTAAAATTTGTCTAATTACATCCGAGTGGAGGTAGTGATTTAAAAGATTTATGTTTCATCCTCCTAAATTACTGGGAAAATCAGAGACCTTAGCATGGAGAATAGAATCAGCTTTAGATAAGCATGCTTGACAAGAGGGTCAAGGAACGGAGACCATTTGTCATGCCAAAATAATATTTAATCTCCTTTACCAACTTTCCAACCTACATGAGACATGAATTTATCCCAAACTTTACAAATGCTGCTTTATGTGTAAGAGCAGGAGTTAAGTTTAACTATCATCAAAATTTTAAGTTTGTTACATTTGTATTTGTTGCGGAGAATCTAGACCCAGAGGTAGTTTGGCTTGTAGATAAGGCCC